AATCAAAGATAATGCACACAAATAGTTGGATCCACATAATATATGAATGTATAATTTTCGCTGAAGTTGATGTTAGATAGACCTAACTGTTTGTCAATCATACGATTATGCATAATTCAAGATTTAAACGTCATACTTTAAAATGAACATAAACAAATATTTAATATTTCATAATATAGATATGATATTTATTAAAAAGTATGTGACGAATTGACACACATAACAATTGGTATCAAGCAAGAAATTATGTTTCAGTTATTTGTATGATGAGACGAGTATGAAAATATTTTATTTTTATTTGGTCAGATAATTATTTTTTTTATTAAACTGTGAAGTGTGAACCCATAAAAAAATAAATCAGTTTTTTCATTAACATGTGACTTCAAACATAAAATACATCATTTGCATTTCATTTTACTCTTTCTCAATAATCTCAATAACAAAATAAAAAATAAAAAATAATCTGATAAAAAATATTTATTCACTCATATACCAACCACTATCAATCCACATTTTATGATTTTATACTATATCAATTTTTACTTATTTTATATCATTCACAACATTAAATTTATTCCACTTTTCTAAAAACATTCTTTTTTTCTTTTTTCAACGATATTTTTTTTAATGTTAATTATATCAACTTGACTAGTACGAATCACATGCGATGCACGAGTAAGAGATATTCATTAACATTTATAAATTAAAAATATAGAATCAATACATAATATAATTTACCTATATTAATTTACTGAAAACGCTATAAGAAATTTAAATTGTGTAAAACTACATGAAACATGCCAACTTAAGTACACAACATGTACGGTGCAAGTAACTGTTAACATAATAAATTACGTTATATTTATTCCAAAATAAATATCATTTAAAAATTTATTAAGAAATTTGATTTGTCTATAATGTGATTCCATAAAATAATTATTTTGATAGAATTTTATCATATATTTAAAAATTTATAGGTATAATTATAACATTTATATTATTAAATCAACTAAAATGATTTTTCTTTTATAAATTGTCCAAATAGAAAAATTTAAGCAGTACATTGAGTAATTTATAAAATATAAATAATTGACTACTCCATTTACGTCCAAGTTAATATTGACGAGTAAACTATGAATAATTATTTATTTGACTTTTAAATTTGGAACCCAAATTTGGACTAAACAATAAATTCTCTAATATATTTCATATATTACATTGTAAGTTTCTAGATTTGTTGTCGGTTACCTTATCGTTTAAATTTATCAACAAATTCTCTAGAATTAAATTACAATTTTTAAATTTTATTAACCAATATTGGTTCAAAGATCTTTATGATTTTCAAGAGGAATACATACCAATTTTTCGAATTATCATCAATATCTTATGGAAAGTTATTATGGAAATATGCACAAATTTGAGAATCATATCAGCTTGATTTTATAACAAATCAACCTAAAATGCGATTTTCCTACCCGTACCAAATAAAATTTATACCACTTATTATGTTTTAAAATTTTCAAATACACTTATATCCATACCTAATAAAAACTCATACCATTTAAATTCGGATATTTCATACCAAAATAAAATTGCCCACTTTATACCATAAATTCGAAAATTATTAATAACAACACATTTCCTATCAAAAATAAAAATTGCCATCAGATACCTTAAATAAAATTTTCCATTTTATACCAAAATCATATTTATTAATTTTGCTAACTTTATACTATAAATTGATTAATTAATTTACAGAAACGATATTTTGGAAAATTTTCCAAAAAGATTACGAAGTTTAGTAATTTTAAAATTTTTAGGTGATATTTTAGTTTTTTTTTTTAAATAAATACAAATAGTTTTATATATAAGTATAGATAACCGAAATTATAAAACATGATTTCAAACTACTTTTGCAATACTTAATCACTTGAATTACTTTAAATATGGAAGCCAATGCATTTTCAATTAACTGTTGAAGGTTACGGTTAATGGTCTAAGAGCATCTCCAATGCTTTAATGTTGTTGTAGAATAAATGTTGTCAAATATCAATAAATTAAATGGATTGTGCACCATGTAAGAAAAATATTAAGCTTACAACTATGAAAATAAAAAATTCTCTCCAATGCACAATATAGTCTAACTACAATATTATATACTTACCATATATTAAAAATTTTAAAAATAAAAATAAACTTAATTAAATAATTAGATAGCTTAGAATTGGTAAGCATATTTATCTCTTTTTTTCATTGGTTAGCTAGAGTGTAGAGGAGAATGTGGATGAACCACATTCTTTTCTACATTGTAGACATTAATTATGTCCACATCATCACAACATTTGTGATCATATTCTACATTGAAGATGAAAAAATGGTGAATTTATTAAATGTGTTGATGTGGAATGTAATTTACCACAACAACATTTGTCCATTGGAGATGCTCTAAATACAAATAGATGAACTTTTGAAAATCTAAATGCACACCAAATTGCACGATTGACCAAAGTAAATTAGGAAAAGAATAAAGAGGGATGGATAGGTAGATATGGCCACGGGTCAACCGGCCCGCCGACCCGGCACGGACCCGGTCCGGTCAAACCCGTTGACCACGGGTCCGGGCCCGGCTCGGATTTTCAACTGGGCCGGTTCAGGGTCGTCTTTTTTTCGACACCGACCCGCCGGGCCGGGCCGGGTCCGGTTCGGCACGGGAAAAATCAATTGTTTTTGAATTTTTCTATTTTTTTTCTTTTTCTTTTTAATTTTTTCGGGTCAGACCCGGGTCGGGCCGGTCATGGTCCCGGCACGGGTTTAGGGCGTGCCAGTTCAGGGCCGACAAAACCCAACCCTTCGGCCCGCCGGGCCGGGCCGGGCCCTGAATCGGCCCGCCATTTGGCCATGTCTATGCATAGGGATTCACTTAACTTTAGGATGTGGCTTAATTTTAGGACTTTATTATTTAAAATTATTGACTTTAACTATATTTAATATTTTAGGAAAATAAATAGATAAAATTTATTTATTAAGTAACTAAATATTTTTTGACGGGAAATAATTACTATTTTAAAAATAATCAAATCTTATATATATATATATTCCCTCAAGTTGTGGCGGAAACCATTGGCGGATCCATTAAAGGACCAGTGTGGGCCTAGGTCCACTCAGAATTTTTTAAATGGTACATAGAATTATATATAAATTAACCAATGAGGATTTAATTTACATTATGCACGTTCATTTGGGAAGATATAAATGTACATCTCTCTCTAAATTATAAAACGACTTGTTGCATTTTGTTTATCTGTCATGAATTACTTTTTATTTATTTTTGTTTTTAGGAATTGACACTATTTATCTCCTTTTGCTTAAATTTGAACTTGATATATAATTTTTAATTACTTAATATGACTTATATTAACAAGAAAAAAAAATAAAATCTTTCTTATTTATGCTAATGAATGCACTTACATAGTTAAAATGATTCCAAAATTTATATTAAATTAATAATTCACATAAATTTGTAAGTTTCCACATGACTCACTTTAAATTTGATCCCAAAATTTTTAGTTAATTAATATTTCACATAAATATACAAGTTTCCATGAAACTAACTTTAAATTATATTTATGCTAATAGTTAATCTACTTTTTTTAAAAATTAAAGATAATAAAAGGAAAAACATTGATTGGATATATGATTTTTTTTCTTTTCTTCTCATTCTCAAAATTTATCTTATTGGAACAAAGAAAATAATTAAAAAAAACATAAAAATACTATTTATTTCATTCCATCTTTTTATCTACAAGTAACACAATTAAAATATAATAAACTCATATTATGTTATACATTCTAGTAACAATATTATTAATTCACTAACGTATTTTCATTTGTTGATCATTACATTTTATCTCGTATATATTCACAATTTTAAATTTATCTCACTTTTCTTATCTCTATTTTCAGATGAGACAAGATTTTGAAAAAAATAAAAAATATTATATACA